GATGACATCACGCTCCAGGAATGCCCGCTGCTGTTAGCTCAGGAGGCCCGCCCTGAGCAGGGGGTGCTCCCAGCGGCCTCAACTCCCCAGCCTTTCCCTCACCTCCCTCATTACCCAGCCCCCCTGCTTACCCACTCTGATTCCTTTGCTGGACCTTTAATTTCCTATCTCTGCCTGTCTGACTCCAGCCACTCCCATCCCCTGCCTGGCTCCCTTTAGGTTCATCTATCTGTTTGTCCTTCTGTTTATAGAGCCTCTTCTGGGAATGTCTCTTTTCCTCTCTCTGCTCCCTTGTGTCTCATAAATTTCTAAGTCAACTTTTCTAAACCACTGGACAGAGCTGGCAGTGGAGATTTTGATGAGAAGAGGGCAGAGGTGGGAAACTTGCCCATTCTCCGCCCTTGTCTCATTCCTCCTCATCCCTGGTAATTTAGACACCCTGGAGCAGTTCCTGGGTGTTGGTTTCATGGGGAGCGGTCCTGCCCTGTCTGCTTGCAGAAGATCCTGGGCTGCTTCTGACCCCGGAGACTCTGGGTCCCTCTAAGCTTGGGGAAGCAGCCTAGTGCAGCAGGAAAGGGGACCGACTTTGCTCTCAAACAAAGCACTTTGTCCCCAACAGTAGTCCCAGTATGTCCTGACCTCCATGGAGCCTATCCCTGGGAGACAGACAGGGCTAGGAGGATAGGAGAGCTGTGCAGAAGCTCCTGGGTTGAAAGGTCCCAGAGGGCAAAGTCCATGACAGTGTGATTGTCTCTGAGCGCATTGTAGGGCCCTGTGTTCAGAGCCCCTTGACCTTGTCCCCCAGCCTGTGGTTGGCTTTGCTTTCCCAGGTGGCTCCCTGAGCAAGCACAGGCACTGGAGAAGGCGGCGCCCCTTTAAAGCAGGGTCACAGAAAACTGTTGAGGGGGCAGGAGCTGGAGAAACAGCAAGCGAAGGAGTGGGGATTGGCAGGAGTGAGACCAAACAAATTGGAATTGCATCAGATGGGGTATTGGTGTGGGGAGACGGGACAGACAGCAGTTAGGAGGACAAGCTCTGAAATCCAGATTTAAACACATCATGAAACACCGGAGAGCAGTTACCCCGTGGCGGGGACGCCCTGTGCCTGGACCCTGGGAGAGGCTCCAGCCCCTTGTCTACTGCTTCTAGGGCGAACTTTGCGCTGCAAGGCTTTCTACAGCGTCAACGGCTCTGTGTACTGTGAGGAAGATTATCTGGTGAGTGAGGGGTCCCCTGGGCCTGGAATTGGCTCCCACCCCTTTCTCTGTGGCCCACTGGGGTTCCACCCATCAGGACATTCTCGGCCCGTAACATCCTCCCTTGGTCTTCTCCTAGTTTTCAGGGTTTCAGGAGGCAGCTGAGAAATGCTGTGTCTGTGGTCACTTGATTTTGGAGAAGGTAAGCACAGTGTCTTCAGCTGAGACTGTGAGGCTGAGGGGCCGAGGGGTGGAATCAGGAACTAAATGGATACTGAGAAAAGGTGGGGGGAGGAAACCTATCAGCAACTACTTGCGTCCCATTCTTCCCCAGAGCCGCTGTTTACAGTGGCTTCTCTTTGCCTATGGGATCAAGTCTGGACTCCTCCGCCTGCCACCCCAGGCTCCTGTGATCTCTAACTCCCTAACTCTGCAGGCACAACCCGGCCCTCCACCTGAGCCAGGAGTGTGGGGTCCTGAGGCTTAATCCCCTTTCTGCTACTGGCTGGGATCAGTTGAAGCTCAGTTTTCTTTTCTGTAAGGAGGAGTTGGGTTGAATCAGTGGTTCACAGCCCTGGCAGGCTAGCAGATCACCTGGGAAGAAGCAAAGAAAATACCAGTCTCTGGGTCATCACCAGAGACTGTGGTGAATACTTCTGGGTGGGACACAGGCATTGATGGGCTTAAAAACCTCCCTGGGTGACCCTGATATGCAGCCAAGTCTGAGAAACACTGGCCTGGATGCTCCCTAAGACCTTTTTTCAGGGTTTCTGCCTCCATTTTAAGACTCCTTGGTCCTCCCAGATTACACAGCATTGTTCTAGGACGAGAGCAGGGGCTCAGATGAGGTTAGTGGGAGCAGCAGGGAACGTCATCGGTAGCTGGAGAGCAGAGACTGATTCTCCTCCCGCCCCACGAGCCAGATCCTCCAGGCAATGGGAAAGTCCTATCACCCAGGCTGCTTCCGATGCATCGTTTGCAACAAGTGCCTGGACGGCATCCCCTTCACTGTGGACTTCTCCAACCAGGTGTACTGTGTCACCGACTACCACAAGTGAGTCCCCCGCCCGGGGTGTGGTGTGGACCTGGGCTCAGGGATTCCCCCGCCTCAGCTCCCCTCTGTCCTCTCTCTTTCAGGAATTACGCTCCTAAGTGTGCGGCCTGTGGCCAACCCATCCTCCCCTCAGAGGTCAGTATGTCTGTGTTCTCCTGCAGGGCAGCCAGTGCTGCTGCGTCTGGGGAGGGACTGGGGACATGCTGCCTGGCCTCCCCTGGGAGGCAGTGGTGCTGAGGAATGTACTCCGCGAAGAAGATTCCCGTGTGACTCTGCTCTCTGGGTCATCACCCTGACCCCAACATCCGGGCCTGGACTTGTCTGACAGCCTTGCTGGACCCAGGCTCCATCTCTTTTCTCCCAGTCCAGAGAAGGAGACTTTCTCTGAAGTCAAGGTCATCAGCTTCCAGATGTAGGGGCTGGACAAAGGTGGGAAGAATCCTCAGGGCTGGTAGGAAGGGGTCAGAAATGATTTACGCTGTGTGTGCCAAGGGAGAGAAGCCAAAAGCCCACGAGGAACCAGGCCCTATTGGGTCTCCCCGGCTTAGCTTACTTTATTGATGCAGCCTGCCTCTTTCCTTTCCCTCTGTGAGGCCTGAGCCCCTGGACAGAGGGGAGGCTCCACGAGGGGACATGCCTTCCTGGAGGCAGTGTCAACAAAGGAGAGGGGGAAAGTTCCCGCAGGGTTTGCAGAGGCCACCTCAAAGCTGCAGACTGTGGCAGAGAGGCTCTGGAGGCCTCTGTATGATCTTCCCGTTGGAAGGGGGGCTGGTGGGGGAGGGGAGAGTTGGGGTTATCGTGCTGCTCTCATGCCCATGGGGGTGTGCATTATTTCAGGGCTGTGAGGACATTGTGAGGGTGATATCCATGGACCGAGATTATCACTTTGAGTGCTACCACTGCGAGGTGAGTGTTGGGCGCCCGGGCTCCCAGAGGAGAGCTAGAAGGGGGCTGGGGGAGTGAAGTCCTAGAACTGCCACAGTCTGTAGGAGAGGTCTAGGATACGGGAAACCAGGAAGGTGCTCTGACCCATCTCCAGTCTCTCTTGCGTCCTTCAGCCACTCTCTCTGGGTGTGGTCGTTTAGTCCTTTCTAAATCTGGCTTCCCCAGAGTCAAGACTCCCAAAACTAGGGACTCCTGGTAACAGCTGGAAATGGGAGCCTGTCTCATTATTTCTGCTGTAGCAGCGACACCTGGCGTCCAGCTGAGGTATTTTCTCAGGTTTCTCTTCTGGGAGTTCATCCCCCTCCAACCCCGCCCCCTTTTTCCCAGTCACTGGGAGTCTAGTGCCCAGCAGGGCCGACTTCCACGCTGTCCCTGGTTCCTGGGCTGAGGTAAACTAGGTGTCCTTCTTCCCTAGGACTGCCGGATGCAGCTGAGTGACGAGGAAGGCTGCTGCTGTTTCCCTCTGGATGGGCACTTGCTCTGCCACGGCTGTCACATGCAGCGGCTCAATGCCCGACAGCCCCCTGCCAATTATTGGGTCGGCCAAAAAGTTCCTTCGGTTTTTAAGTAAAAATAGAAGATACATTTTTCACTTTCACCAAGAACTTTATTGGACAGTGTAATCACTGTTTTGTTCCACTACCTTCTACCATTTTTCAGGCAACTTCATAATTCCATCTTCCCAAAACTTTTTATCTTTTTGAGCAAAGAACTGTTCCAGGTGCCTTTTACAGTCTTCCAGGGAATTGAAATTTTTTCCATTAAGAGAATTTTGTAAAGACCGAAATAAATGGAAATCTGAAGGTGCATTGTCTGGTGAATACAGCGGATGAATCAGAACTTCCCAGCCAAGCTGTAACAGTTTTTGCCAGGTCATCAAAGAAACACGCGGTCTTGCGTTATCCTGATGGACAATTATGCATTTTCTGTTGACTGATTCCGGATGCTTTTCATCGAGTGCTGCTTTCAGTTGGTCTAATTGGGAGCAGTGCTTGTTGGAATTTATCATTTGGTTTTCTGGAAGGAGCTCGCAGTAAAGGACTCCCTTCCAATCCCACCATATACACAACATCACCTTCTTTGGATGAAGGTCGGCCTTTGGTGTGGTTGGTGGTGTTCATTTTGCTTGCCCCACGATCTCTTCCATTCCACGTTATTGTACAGTATCCACTTTTCATCACCCGTCACAATTTGTTTCAAAAACGGAACGTTTTCGTTACATTTCAGTGGAGAATCGCATGCAGAAATATGTTCAAGAACATTTTTTTTTCCCGCTTAACTTAGGTGGAACCCAAACATCAAAGCGATTAACATAACCAGGCTGGTACAAATGATTTTCAGCGCTTGATCTGGATATTTTGAGTATGTCAGCTGTCTCCCTCGTTGATTGTTCTCAGTTAATGTCTTGATTTGATTGCTGTCAACTTCAACTGGTCTACCCAACCGCGGAGCTTCATCCAAGGAGGAATCTCCAGCACGAAACTTCGCAAACCACTTTTGACACGTTCGATCAGTCACAGCACCTGCTCCATACACTGCACAAAACTTTTTTTGCGTTTCAGTTGTGTTTTTACCTTCCTTGAAATAATAAAGCATAATATGCCGAAAATGTTCCTTTTTCCTTCCATCTTCAATATTAAAATGGCTACACAAAAATACACCAATTTTTATAAGTTTTTTTTTAAATGCACACTGATGTGATAGCTGTCACAATACAATCTAACAAAATTGTTTCAAATGAAGTTAAAGACAACTAAGCGCTACTAGAGCCATCTGATGGAAAACATCAAACGAACTTTTTGGCCAACCTAGTATATCTGAGATGCAGTCACTGCCGCTGCCGTCACCACCATTGACAAATTCCTCTGGCCAGTGGGCCCCTCTGAGGCCAGCCAAGAAAAGGAAGGCACTCTGTAGCCCTGGCAGAAGAGTCCTCTAGGGAGGGCCCCAAGGGCCAGAGACCCAAAGATCAAGACATTCCAAATGGATTGTGGAGGAGGAGCCCTCCAGTTGCCATGATGTGGGTGACTGGCCTTTCCAGGTGTGCAGCCTGTGCTGTAGCACATAACAGGCACACACAGGCGGGTTCCAGTATTTTCTAAAGGTCTGATTCTAGTCTGTATCTCTAGTATACATTTGTGTGCACACACGGGCGCACACTCTCTCTCTCTCTCTCTCTCTCTCTCTCTCGTCAGGGGACTCTTACACTTGGTTCATTAGTAGTAGTTCAGCTCTCCAGACCTGCTGCCTCTCAGAGGGAACCACAGTTATTTCCACCACAGCTCCCAAACTTGAGGTTCCAGGAGCCAGAGAGGCAAAACACTTTCACTTGGTTCTGATCCGTTTGGCTAGATCTCTTAAAACCAATCCACTAAAAACTTGTTTACTCAAAGTTCACTTGATGACCAGTTTGCCAAAAGCTGAGTTCCCTTTTGGGTATTTTTATAGCCATTTAGTTGTTCTGTTCGTTTTTGTCACGCTTGGGTATTTCAAGGATTTATATCTTTTCATCTAAGAGTACCCCTGAGTTATCAGCAGCATAAATTTATCAAATTTGCAGCACTTTGTAAATGATGAGATTGCTTCCTACCTTTATGGATATCTTTTTCTGTTACCTACTTTTCAAACTTTTTTAAAGTTTCCAGCAATAAATAGAGTTGGTACAGACATTTTGTGTATCATTTTTTGTGTTTCTTAATCCAATATTCTTTTCCAAATTAGATGCTTTGAAAACTGTAACAGCTCAATATGATTTTGTTGCCTTGGTCTGTCCACTACATTTTCCTGCTGTTAAAAGGCCAATATAGTCTCAACAAATAAACAGGCATGTGGCATACTCAGTTGACTAACAAAGGTGTACAGGCAACAGCAATGAAAAGTGAAAGGGTGAATCTGCTAAATCTTTTTGAAATGCTGCAGATTTGATAAATACTTATTTGAAACTGTCTCTAGGTGAATTGGTTTTAGGCAAATTAATCTGATAACCTTTGATCCTTAGTCTTTATTCTCCACCACTTAGAGTTTCATTTTGGAAATGACTCTTGAGAACAGAAATTCCACATTTAGGGATGATTCTAAGATGACTTTGCCAGCCAACCTGGGAATTGCATGAAAGAGGCCTCTGAGTGAAAGTAAGAGATCAGATTCACACCATGGAATGCCAGAGTGGGGGAAATGCAGGTTTTTTTTTTGGCAGGGTAACGTTCTGAAACAAAATTACGTGTTCTACAGCTGGGATTGCTTCTTCTGAACTGTTGTTATTAAATAAGTGAATACAAAGGCTCTGTGACTGGGAAAATTTCTCACCAGGCTGCTCCAGGTCTGGGAAATGCAGACAAGCACGTGTAGCCTTACATCCATCCCTTCAGTTGTTTTACTCTTGGGGGTCTTGTCCACTCTGTCACTCTGACCCTTTGTTTCTTACGGTGGTTTTGGCCTCCCTCTGCCACTGACTGGCTGATTCCTTTCTAGGTCTGTGCTCATCTGTCCTAACCCTGAGGGGTCCCCAAGACTCTGTCCTTGCCACTAGGGCTACTTTCTCCCTCCTTCCTGAGGAAAAACAAGTGCTAATATCTGGTGAAGACGGGCCCAGGGAAGGCAGGCCATGGCATAGGAGCAGCCCCAGCTGTCGCACGGCATCACTGGCAAGTTCCAAGTGTACCCCACATCTCAAGAGTTTTCCTTCTTCCTGTTCACGGGGAGATTGTTCATCCTTAGCAGTTCTATTTACTATTTCCTGTTGGTATTGAAAGATTCATGGGATGCTGCCAAGGATACAGCAACAGGTGGACCTTGTTTGGCCAATTTGCCACCTGATTTTCATCAACAGCCAAAAGGCCGGAGACAGCAAAAGGGGAAATGGAAGAATTATGGATCCGTTTTGTGTCTCTTTAGATGAGAGTCACGGACAGGGGTCAGGCTTTCACAGCAGACTTGAGCTATTTGCTCTGGCCAGCCCTGTTTGCTACAGGCCAGAATGGGGCTTGTGAATAAGCCGGCTGGTGCCGGTTCTCTGCCTTACTTCTTAGAGACTTGACTGCTTCCCCTTCCACCTGGAGCTCTCAAGGCCACAGAAATGGTAAGACTCCGTTTATAATCAGGCTGGAGACCATCCTCAGTCAAGGAGGACATAAGAGAAAGCTGTTTCAGGGCACAGAAAGCCATTTGGATGAGGTCCCTGAGACTGTACCTAGATGGAAGGGAATAAGAAGGGGGCAATAAAAAGAGACTAACAGGACTGCGAGAAAAGGATTGGGAAGAAGCAGTGAGTTGAAGCATTTTTATTTCTTTTTTTTTTCTTTTTTTTTAGAAGGACCCATACCCCAGAGCTGGCCTAGGGGCATTCAGAATCCTAAAGGCAAGACTCCACAAGAAGGACAAGGGTCTAACCAATCTCAATCCTCTCCATCCTCTCCTCCCTCGCAGCAAGGAAGACCTAAGGCTGGGCCTCTGCTGTGTCAATTGCTTGTGGAGGGCCCTGTTGTCCACGCTTGGCCCTCGTTGGGAAGGAGGTCCTAAGGTTTGACCTTGGAAATCTGAGCAGACTGTTCCTGGGACATATAGATTAGACCGGTCTAACTGTGATGGTCGGGTAGTCATCAGAGGCAAATTCTGTCCACTGTAGGTATTATTTCAGCTACTCTCCTCTTAGAAAGGATAGTGTTGACCCATGTGAAGGGAGCAGGGGAAGATGGGTTAGGAGGAAATCTACAAAAAGGTACTGGTTAGGCTTGTATCGTAGAGAGTTAGAGCCAAGCGAGGTGTGCGTTTAGAGATATCGCTGTCACCTCATTTTACTGAATGAAGAAATAGAAACTCTGATTGATGATGGGACTTACCCAAGGTCACACAGCTGGAAAATGACTTTCCAACTTCTGAAGACTAATAAAGAGCTTATTTCCCCTCTTCCCTCCCCACTACCCGCTCCCAGGGCATAAGTAAACTGTAAATGAGACAAATGCTTCACTATGACAGATAATTAGGGCAAGTTTTAGTGGGAAAGCCAGGGAACACGAGAGATAATAATGAAAACTTTTGGCTCTTTTTAGTGCTTTTTTGTTAATTAGGATTAGCAATCACCAAAGTACCTTTAAGAGCACATTAGGGGAAACAAAGGAAATATACTGCAGGGGAGTCCCTGTCCTTGAGGAGGTCACAGTCCAGCCAGGGAGATAAATACACACATAAAATGTGGTGAGAAGATTACAAGCAACATGTCAACAAATGCAAAGAAATTGAGTGTTACAACGAGACCTAATGCACAGGGTACAGGTGACAGTGATGAAACGGTCTGGCTTAGAGTGTAGATCAGAAGGCGGCAGCCCACTGGCTAAATCCTGTCCCCAAATGCATTGAGTTTGGCCCACTGGGAGTTATTTTTTATAGTATTAACTTGAACCCTAGTTGAAGAAGGAAAAAATGCCAGCTAATAAATGTAGAAAGAATGACAGAATTGGAAAACTGGCATTTTGTGAACTTTAATAAAACTATTGATCCTAGCAAAGATTATTAATTGGTGTTAAACACCATAGGTGAAATGATTGGTAGACAACTGCACATTCATACAGCACC